TTTGCTTACAAGGTACAATCAGCATAATGTCATCAATGTAACGGACCAATGTGATATCTCGTGAAAGTTGATCAAGATCCTTATGTACTCAATTATAAAATAGAACTGAAGAGTTGATATACCCCTGAGGTAGGACAATGAAGGTGTACTTCTGGCCTTGCCAGCAGAAAACAAACTGCTTCAGGTGGTTCTTATTGACAGGGGTGGAGAAAAAGGTATTTGTCAGTCAATAGCTACATACCAGGCACCAGGGGATGTGTTGGTTTTCTCGAGCAAAGAAACCATATCTGGTACAGCAGATGCAATTGGAGTCACCACCTGGTTAAGCCTGCAATAATCCACTGCCATTCTCAAAGATCCACCTGTCATATGCATAAGCCAAATAGGAGAGTTGAATGGGGAGGTGGTGGGAATCATCACCCCTGCATCTTTCGAGTCCTTGATGGTGGCACTAATCTCTGTAATTCCTCCAGGAATGTGATACTGATTTTGATTTACTATTTTTCTAAAACTGTCTATAGGCAGTTCTAGTGGCTTCTACTTGGCCTTTCCCACCATAATAGCCCTCACCCCACCGGTCAGGGAACCAATGTGGAGATTCTGCCAGCTGCTCAGTGTGTCTATTCCAATTATGCATTCTGAAGCTAGGGAAGTAACCACAGGATGGGTTCAGAGACCCGCTGGACTCACTGTGAGATGGACTGGAGCTAAAACTCCATTGACCACCTGACTTCCACCAGCCTGTACTCTGACTGGTGAACCACAGTAATGTTTTGGGTCTCCTGGAATTAGTGTCAGTTCAGAACCAGTATCCAGTAATCCCTGAAAAGTCTGATTATTTCCTTTCCTCAATGTATAATCACCCTGGTAAAAGGCCGAAGGTACCTTTTGGGAAGTCTGGGAGAAAGATTAATAGTATATATTTTCAGTAGTGCACTGGGGTTCTTCCTCAAGGGGTTCTGGGTTTTGTAACCCTAACCTTAACCCTATGTCCTAACTCAAGGCAGTCAAGCAGGAGGGTTACCTCTTACTCAAGGGAGGGTAATCTTTTTGTTTTATTTAGACCTTGAACTGACTGGATGAGGCTTACCCACAGTAGGGATAGCGATATGATTTACTCAGTCTCCTGATTCAAATATTAATCTCTTTCAGAAATACTCTCATAGACACACCCAGAATAATGTTTGACTAAATGTCTGGGCACCTATGGCTCAGTCAAGTTCACACATAAAATTAACCATACAGCACTTTTAAACAAAAATTTTAAAAATCTGGTTCTCAAATGACACAGCTAAGGAAAAGGCATAAAACACTTTGGGAGAAAACATTCTTAACAGTCTTTTGTCATTTACAGACAGTTCTGGGTGTACCCTGATGCTTTTGCAAAAACGTTCCTATAAAAATGTTTCATCTTCAAGGTATTCATGGAAAAGACTCTGACAGGTACAGGTTTCTGGTAACTGACTCTACTGCTGAACTGAATGAATAAGCATTTTCAGAACTCTAGTGGAAAACTGATGAATTCATAAAAGTGCTAAAAAAAGATCAAGATGAAAAAAAATTAATTACATGGGACTGAGTGAACTGATGAGGACGATTATAATTTTTGTGACTTTCTGTTTGAATAAAAAAAAGAATCCCACAAGGACTCAGAAGCAAAAAAATATACAAATCAATTTTCACTGCAAAGTAAAGGAGCGGTTACAGTGCAGGATTCCTGGACTGAATGTCAATATTATGACATAGTATGAGTGTGTTTCGTGTTTTGTAATTGCAATCATTGTTGCTTTTGTTGTGGTCATCCATTTACAATGCTTGGTGTCAGTTTATCTCTTGTAAAAACAAAATACAGTGTGTGTGAAAAAAATAAAATAAAATGAAATGCAAAAAAATCTTTATTCAGTATTATAAAGAACTCATAATTAAATACTAAGAAGCCATAAACAACTCAATTTTTACTTTATTAAATTTTATTCATTTATTTATTTTATACAGCAGGTATAGTCATCAATTTTATACACATCAGTGTATACATGTCAATCCCAATCGCCCAATCCATCACACCCCCACCCCCCACCCCACCGCTTTCCCCACTTGGTGTCCATATGTTTGTTCTCTACATCTGTGTCTCAATTTCTGCCCTGCAAACTGGTTCATCTGTACCATTTTTCTAGGTTCCACATATATGCGTTAATATACGATATTTGTTTTTCTCTTTCTGGCTTACTTCACTCTGTATGACAGTCTCTAGGTCCATCCACGTCTCTACAAATGACCCAATTTCGTTCCTTTTTATGGATAATATTCCATTGTATATATGTACCACATCTTCTTTACCCATTCGTCTGTCGATGGGCATTTAGGTGGCTTTCATGACCTGGCTATTGTAAATAGTGCTGCAATGAACATTGGGGTGCATGTGTCTTTTTGAATCATGGTTTTCTCTGGGTATATGCCCAGTAGTGGGATTGCTGGATCATATGCTAATTCTATTTGTAGTTTTTTAAGGAACTCCATACTGTTCTCCATAGTGGCTGTATCAATTTACATTCCCGCCAACAGTGCAAGAGGGTTCCCTTTTCACCACACCCTCTCCAGCATTTGTTGTTTGTAGATTTTCTGATGATGCCCATTCTAACCGGTCTGAGGTGATACCTCATTGTAGTTTTGATTTGCATTTCTATAATAATTAGTGATGTTAAGCAGCTTTCCATGTGCTTCTTGGCCATCTGTATGTCTTCTTTGGAGAAATGTCTATTTAGGTCTTCTGCCCATTTTTGGATTGGGTTGTTTGTTTTTTCAATATTGAGCTGCATGAGCTGTTTATATATTTTGGAGATTAATCCTTTGTCCACTGATTCATTTGCAAATATTTTCTCCCATTCTGTGGGTTGTCTTTTCGTCTTGTTTATGCTTTCCTTTGCTGTGCAAAAGCTTTGAAGTTTCATTAGGTCCCATTTGGTTCTTTTTTTGTTTTTGTTTTTAATTCCATTATCTAGGAGGTGGGTCAAAAAAGATCTTTCTGTGATTTATGTCAAAGAGTGTTCTTCCTATGTTTTTCTCTAAGAGTTTTATAGTGCCCAGTCTTACATTTAGGTCTCTAATCCATTTTGAGTTTATTTTTGTGTATGGTGTTAGGGAGTGTTCTAATTTTATTCTTTTACATGTAGCTGTCCAGTTTTCCCAGCACCACTTATGGAAGAGACTGTCTTTTCTCCCTTGTATATCCTTGCCTCCTTTGTCATAGATTAGTTGACCATAGGTGCATGGGTTTGTCTCTGGGTTTTCTATCTTGTTCCATTGATCTATGTTTCTGTTTTTGTGCCAGTACCATATTGTCTTGATGACTGTAGCTTTGTAGTATAGTCTGAAGCCAGGGAGTCTGATTCCTCCAGCTCCGTTTTTCTCCCTCAAGACTGCTTTGGCTATTTGGGGTCTTTTGTGTCTCCATACAAATTTTAAGAGTTTTTGTTCTAGTTCTGTAAAAAATGCCATTGGTAATTTGATAGGTATTGCATTGAATCTGTAGATTGCTTTAGGTAGTAGAGTCATTTTCACAATATTGATTCTTCCAATCCAAGAACATGGTATATCTCTCTGTCTGTTGGTATCATCTTTAATTTCTTTCATCAGTGTCTTATAGTTTTCTGCATACAGGTCTTCTGTCTCCCTAGGCAGGTTTATTCCTAGGTCTTTTATTTCTTTTGTTGCCATGGTAAATGGGAGTGTTTCCTTAATTTCTCTTTCAGATTTTTCATCATTAGTGTATAGGAATGCAAGAGATTTCTGTGCATTAATTTTGTATCCTGCAACTTTACCAAACTCATTGATTAGCTCTAGTAGTCTTCTGGTGGCATCTTTAGGATTCTCATGTATGGTATCATGTCATCTGCAAACAGTGACAGTTTTACTTCTTCTTTTCTAATTTGGATTCTTTTATTTATTTTTCTTCTCTGATTGCCATGACTAGGACTTCCAAAACTATGTTGAATAATAGTTGTGAGAGTGGACATCCTTGTCTTGTTCTTGATCTTGGAGGAAATGCTTTCAGTTTTTCACCATTGAGAATGATGTTTGCTGTGGGTTTGTCGTATATGGCCTTTATTATGCTGAGGTAGGTTCCCTCTATGCCCACTTTCTGGAGAGTTTTTTTTTTTTTATCATAAATGGGTGTTGAATTTTGTCAAAAACTTTTTCTGCATCTATTGAGATGATCATATGGTTTTTATTCTTCAATTTGTTAATATGGTGTATCACATTGATTGATTTATGTATATTGAAGAATCCTTGCATATCTGGGATAAATCCCACTTGATCATGGTGTATGATCCTTTTAACGTGTTGTTGGATTCTGTTTGCTAGTGTTTTGTTGAGGATTTTTGCATCTATGTTCATCAGTGATATTGGTCTGTAATTGTCTTTTTTTGTAGTATCTTTGTCTGGTTTTGGTATCAGGGTGATGGTGGCCTTATAGAATGAGTTTGGGAGTGTTCCTTCCTCCACAATTTTTTGGAAGAGTTTGAGAAGGATGGGTGTTAGCTCTTCTCTAAATGTTTGATAGAATTCACCTGTGAAGCCATCTGGTCCTGGACTTTTGTTTGTTGGAAGATTTTTTAATCACAGTTTCAATTTCATTACTTGTGATTGGTCTGTTCATATCTTCTATTTCTTTCCTGTTCAGTCTTGGGAGGTTATACCTTTCTAAGAATTTGTCCATTTCTTCCATGTTGTCCATTTATTGGCCTAGAGTTGCCTGTAGTAGTCTCTTAGGATGGTTTGTATTTCTGTGGTGTCGTAACTTCTCCTTTTTCATTTCTAATTTTACACTAAGAAGCCATAAACAACTCAGTTTTTAAAAAATGGGCAAATGGGCCTGACTTCCTGCCCAGGCGCAGAGCCGGGCCGCAGGGAATGTCCTGGGACAAGTCCACGGAGACGCTCGCTGTACCCCGCCCGGCTCCACTGCTCCCTTTAGGGCCTGAGGCTCGCTGTGTTCCAAAATGGCCGAGGAGTCCGACAAAGCCGTGAAGTACTACACCGTGGAAGAGATCCAGAAGCACAACCACAGCAAGAGCACCTGGCTGATCCTGCATTACAAGGCGTACAATTTGACCAAATTTTTGGAGGAGCACCCTGGTGGGGAAGATGTCTTAAGGGAACAAGCTGGAGGTGATGCTACTGAAAACTTTGAGGATGTCAGACACTCTACAGATGCTCGAGAATTGTCCAAAACGTTTACCATTGGGGAGCTGCATCCGGATGACAGGTCAAAGATAACCAAGCCTCCGGAAACTCTTATTACTACTATTGATTCTAATTCCAGCTGGTGGACCAACTGGGTGATCCCAACCATCTCAGCACTGGTTGTAGCCCTGATGTATCACTTCTACACATCGGAACACTAAACACGTTCTCAGAAGCCAGTGGAAGAAAAGACTGCTTTGGTCCTGGGAGAAAGAAGCCACCGTTAACTGCTTCAGCTGACAGAACCCTTCACCTGAAAATGAATTGAATACACCTGTTTTCCTTTCCTCCTACATTAGACACAAAACAAACCAAAAAGAACTGTTCTTTCTACTCCTGAATTTTTAGAGTGTGCCTTTTTATTCATCAGCTTTGTTTTGATGTTCCATCGCTATGTCATTTGCTTACTGTGGGCACAATCTTTTAAAACATACCACCATGAATGGCTCTTTGATATGTAATTGTCTGTGATGTTTGGAATCTGATTATTTGGCGGTCATTTAATGTGCTAATCTTTCAGATCCAAGTTGTCTGTCTGATGTGAGCAGGGGCGTCCTTGGATCTCTTCTTGTGCTGCTTCATCTAATTGAATAATCAGGTATTGCATGTTTCCAGTGTAGTTTTTTTTTCAAGGAAAGCCCAGAAATAATAGCTTAAAGATTTCTAATAATTGTTCTACTTGAACAATCATATAGACCATAAAAAGAGAAAGTGGTCTGCAAGACCTAGAAAAGATACTCGATCTTTTCTTTGATTAAAAACACCAGCAACATCAACAAAAGCCTGTGAACCATGAGAGAACATTACCACTGTCCCTTCTCTCAGCTTAAATATGTCATTCCGAAGAGATTCTCAGTTATACAGCTTCTCAGGTTTTACAGACTCCTCCTTCAAAGGTAAAAACTGTTTATGTGCTCCTATAAAGAAATGTTGATTCCCTAATTTGTAAAAACACACATTTGAAAGAGATTGTGGGACATTCGGAATCTGATTTTTGAAGAAATTTAGCTCTGGTGATGGGCCATGAAGAACTCTGGTGTGGACTGGTTCAGTCATCCCGTCTTTGTTTATTATTCTCTGCGCAGTGCTTTTTCTTTAAATGTCGAAACTTGAGAGATGAATTTATAGACTCGAAGTACTTTGTAGTTAGCAATGATTGTCTATTGGCCTGCTAGCCGACTGACGAGCCATGGAGTTCTTCAGAAATAACTAAACACATTGGAAAGGAATTTGTTTAAATTACAGAGCAGAGATTTTTATAATCAGTGACATGTGTCACCCTCTGCCTTTTTTGTCGCTGGAAGTTAGAGCAAATGTAGGAGGGCAGTGGGGCAGCTGCCTCACATGGGAAAATACCTTGCAGAGGAATCCTTTGTTTAGATTTTAATAAACATAAGCCTGGAACAACAACAAGAAAATGGGCAAATGACTTGAACAGACACTTCATCAAAGAATATATATGAATGGCTAATTGGCCAATAAGTACATGAAAAGGTATCTAAAATAATTAGTTACTAGGGAAATGCTAATTAAAATAACAGTGAGATACCAAATGCCAGCCACTAGAATGGATAAAATTAAAATTAAAAAAAATTTTTTGTCAGTCGACAAAAACACATGTAGGTGAGGTTTTAGAACAACCAGAACTCTCTTACATTACAGGTGCCTATTAAAGCAGCACAGCCACTTTTAAAAATAGTTTGGCGGTTTCTTATGAAGTTAAGCATACACCTAGTCGTGATTCAGCAATTCCATCTGGAGGTATTTACACAACAGAAATGAAAACATATGTCTACACAAAGACCTGCATACAAATGCTCATAGCAGCTTTATTTGTAATAGCTAAAAGTTGGAAGCAATCTAAGTGTCCATAAACTAGTGAATAGATAAACTGTGGCATAGCCATAAATGGAATACTACTTGGTAATAAAAAGGAATAAATTTCTGATACTGCCAATAACGTGTGAATTTCAAAAGCAGTAAGCTGAACAAAAGAAACCAGACACAAAAGAATACAGATTGTATGCTTCCATATATATCATATTTTAGATCAGCCAAAAGCAATCTATGATATATAAATAACGTTAGTAGTTGCTTTCTTTTTTTAATATTCTCCAATTATCTTTTTAAAAATTAATTAATTAATTTTGTGGCTGTGTTGAGTCTTTGTTGCTGTGTGCAGGCTTTCTCTAGTTGTGGTGAGCAGGGGCTGCTCTTCGTTGTGGTGCGCGGGCTCCTCACTGCGGTGGCCTCTCTTGTTGTGGAGCATGGGCTCGAGGCATGTGGGCTCAGTAGTTGGGGCACGTGGGCTCAGTAGTTGGGGCACGTGAGCTCAGTAGTTGTGGCTTGTAGGCTCAGTAGTTGTGGCTCATGGGCTTAGTTGCTCCATGGCATGTGAGATCTTCCCAGACCAGGGATTGAACCTGTGTCCCCTGAATTGGCAGACGGATTCTTAACCACTGTGCCACCAGGGAAGTTCCAAGTGGTTGCTTTAGACTTGAGGGAAGTGGACTGCAAAGGAACATGAGGGAACTTTCTGGTGTGATGGAAATGTTCTATATCTTGATTGGAGTGACTGTTAACATGAATATATACATCTGTCATCAAACCACACATTTAAATGGGTGCATTTTACTGCATGTACTTTATACCTCAGTAAAGTTAATTTGTAAAATATATTATTGAACACCAAACCTCAGTAGATACATACAGCAATAGACTAGATATCACTGAAGGGGGAATTACTGAATTGAATGAGAGATTTCATTCAATGAGATCTCTCAATGAGGAAATTACCTAGAATGCAGGATAGAGAGCTAAGGAGAGAGAAAATATGAAAGAGATATGAAGGATAGAATGAGAAGTTACAACATTTATCAAATAGGAGTTCCAGGAAGAGAAAATAGGGATAATGAAGAGGCATAATTTTATTTTATTTTATTATTTTTTAATTGAAGTGTAGTCGACTTACAATTGTGTTAATTTCAGGTGTACAGCAAAGTGATTCATATATATATATATATATATACTTTTCCAGATTTTTTTCCATTATAGGTTATTACAAGATATTGAATATAGTTCCCTGTGCTATACAACAGGTCCTTGTTATTTATCTATTTTATATACAGTAGTATCTGTTAATCCCAAACAAGGAGGCATGATTTTAATGGTTGAGAATTTTCCAGAATTGAACATAGACACGGGTGAAAATGTCCACTGAAACCCAAGCAGGAAAAATAAAAGTGAATCCATTCTCAGCCAAATAGGAAACTTGAAAGCATCGGAGTTGGCTCTGGCAACCCTTCAGGATCTTAGGGCCTTGCTGTCCTTGTCTAGGTTGCCTTTCTCACTACCTGAATCTTCTTTTTACACTTCCTTCCTCAGACAAATTGATGAGTTTGAAGGGGAAATCTGAAAAGCATGGTCTCTGAGCTCCCAGGTCTTCTTTTTCTCTTAATCTCGTCATTCAGAGATCTGGTGGACGTCGGTGTTCCCGGCTCTCTCATGGGGTTAGTATTTTCATTTTACTTCTACCTGTGAAAGGGAGAGCTTGGCTTTGTTAAGAGAATTTCAGCACAGAAATAGGGAAGACTAGTTAGTTTGGGCAAAAGGGCCTTCCTGGAACACTGAAAGAACATTCCCTAAATGGCCACCTGTTCTACATAAGTACAAGATTGGCTGCTGGACTGGTGTGAATCCCTTCTTCCCTACCACACAGTAGCTTAAGGCTGTACTAGAGGAAGTGTGGCCAGTCACAAAGCCATGTCCAGTGAATTCTCTAAGGTGTTTTATTTTGATTCTATCTGATCAGTACTATATGGCTGTAGCAATGGTAGTCTCTCCATGATCTAGGACTTGCAGTCAGCTCCAAGCTCTCCTTCTAGCATAAATCCATAGCCTGAAAGGCCAGGAAAAGGAGGTGCAATTTAAAGGAGCTGGTCTTGCTTCTGGTGAGCAGCTCTTGGCTGGGTAGAGGAGGAGGTTGAAAATTTGGCAGGCTAATTTTTTAAGGTTTTAAAGGTTTTAAAATAGCTGTGGATTTCAATTACCCAGGCTCTTTATGTAGACTTCTCCATGTCTTCACTGGCAGGCCAGCTGGTAGCTGCTGCTGTATTTATTTTAAAACCTATTACAGCTTTTTCTTGATCTAAAGGAGAAAGAATATGTTCACATATTCACATCATTAGAAGTGTAACTTTTTTCCCCCAGCAAAACATGAGATTGGCATGTCAGGAATGCAGATGTTTGTCTATATCTGTGGATTCCGGCCTTTCTCACAGTGCCCTTGCTAATTGTTTTGCCAGGCGGCTTTTGGCTTTTACAAAGCAAACCTGACCTGTGTGTCACTGCCCTTTTTAACAAAATTCAATCTCAAAGAGTAAAATAAAGAAGGTACCCTTAAAGGATGTGTGGAAGGAAATAAGAAAAAGCCTCAATCAATAGAAATTGAATAAGAGGTTGGAACCTTGGGGTAAAATTACATGTAACTAATTGGAATTCTTTTCCTTTCCATGAGATAATAAAATTAGGCACCTTAATAACTATTCCTTGGGATTAAATGAATGGCCTGAGGATACTGAGGCGGGATGAGGGGGCTAGTCTGTAGTGACTAGGGGACGCAAGTCTATTGCTCCAGCTACAGACAAAATGTGTGACTGTATTTTCTGAATAACCAAACAGTTTACTGGTAGTTTAACAAAACTGATGGACCAGTTTTAATCAGAGTGATACAATTATTTGAGTCTGTGTGGAGAGACTGCAAATATCTAGATGAAAAACAGGAATAACTTGAATCAATCATTCATATGTTTTATGCTTCCACAGTATCAAGCACATGGAATGGGCAAACAGTTGAATAGTTTATTCAATTTTAGCTTTTTTACCTGGATGCTTCTGCAAATACTTTAAGTTGTTTAAGGGTAGTTACCATGCCTGATACTCCCTTTTCCTCGCACATAGCATCTACCACAGAACAGCCTGAAATAACTGCTTGATTAAATGGTTGATAGGATATCTGTGAGTCTGTATGAAGAACTTAAGTTTATATCAGTCTGTGGAGCTATCTGTGGCAAAGATGTCTAAATGATTCCCAAAGCTTCCTGCTCCCATTCCATGCTGTAGAGTTGCTGTTGGATAGTGGCTATCCAGCCAAGAACTGCATTTTCAGCCTCTGTCACATCTAGAGGGACCATGTGACT